AAGCGATACAGCAGGGAATATGACTCGCGCGACGGCAGGTCGGCGATGTTGTCCACCGACGCCACACGCTGAACGTGCAGATTGCAATTCGCATCCAGCGCCATGCGCCAGATTGAGTGGACCAGGCAATTGTGGTCAAACTGCTTCGCCGCACCGGACCGGACGGCCCACTCGCTGCCTGAATTATCCGAAAAGATGTTCACGCATCGGCCCGACAGGAGCGGCTCAAAGGTGGCCAGGCCCAGCGCGATGCTGAGCACCTCCAGACCGCCGATTTGATTGTCGCGCCTTTCCCTGAAGAGCCGAAGCAGAGGCTCAGGCGGGGCGACATCGGTGAAGACAATGCGCCCGTCAATGAAAAGAACCGCGGCCACTCTAGCTGGATTCCCCCGCGCGTCGGAGAGCAATTGGACAGACCTGGTGTCTGGCGCCTGCCACTCCCGCGTCGTGGTGAAATTTCTGGCGAGCGCTTCGTGCCACCATTGCAGGCAGACTCGCAGGTGCGCCGGGATACTAGGATGGCGCGCCCTTGCGTGCTCAAACAACGGCGGGAGCAGCGCGCGCCCGAACCGCCCGAAGGTGTGGGAGGCAGCCCAACAGAAGCGGCCTGCCAACTTGGACGCGCGCCCGCGCTCGAGCGCGCCCTCTTGAAGAGCAGCAGCGATCTCGGCGCGCCACCGGGCGCGCTTCTCCGGCAGCGGCCAGCACACGAGGCCACGCTCGTCAATCGCCACAGACAAGCCCAGGACCCCGAGCGGATTGCCGAACAGCAGCTTACCGTCGGCCACAGCGCTCGGGCCCAGAATGATTCTTACCAGTTCGGCGAACTGTCGCATTGCGTCGCGCAGCCCTTTCTTACGTTCGGGGCAGAAGAAGTCGTCCACATATCTGAGGACGGGGACGAAAATGAGCCTGCGGCCCAGCGCTGACAGCATCGCGCCGATGCGCTCCCAGCTGTGAACGGAGGAAGTCGCTCCGAATGGGGCGGCGAAGTGCTGAGCCACGTAGACGCATGTGCCCACGAGGAACGCGACCCATGCGAGGGCGCGATGTTCCGGCAACAGCGGCACGCGCCGGAACGCGGCGTCTATGTCCGCCTTCCAGAGCCCGGGCGCTTCGCCCACGCGCGTCACAAATGCCTTGCAAGTGCCAAACAGAGCGTCGATGGCTTCATGGCCGAGACGCTCCGTCGGCTGCGACGCCGCGTTGATACGAGAGCGCGACATATCATCTACGAGCCGCAGCTTCTCGGACCCGTCCTCTCTCGACTGCCGGACGCCGAACCGCGGCGACAAAACCGCACCGTCGAGCTCGACCGCGCTGAGCGGCGCGGGATGGCTCATTCGGCCGAGCTCCGCTTCGGCGATAGTTTTGGTGAGAATCACGGCGGAGTCGCTAGACTCCTTGAGCGTGCCGAGCAGCGCGGCGTTGCCTCGCTCCGCGCCCGCGGCCAAGTCCGGCAGGCTGAGCGGTACAGGGAAAGATTCCGGACGCCCGTTCCCCGTGCACGGGAGAGGGCCCACGAGAGGCGCGCCGCGCCGAAAGACTTCCACGCAGGCCGCGTCCTCGTAACCGATTTCGTCGAGCAGTTCGACGAGAAGAGGGCCGTTGATCGACCCTGCGATTGTGCGCACATGGGCATCGCAGCCCGCGAACCAGGCCGCCGTCGCTCCAGAGGCGCGTAGCTCGGCGTCCCTGGCCCGAATTCGCTCGAGAGTCGCTCGCCGCTCACGGCACACCTGCCGCTCCGAGCGCGCAGCAATCCAATCGATCGCCGCCAAAACATCGCCGGGCACCACCACGGCCTTTTCAAAGGCCTCTTTGTCCTCGAAGGAGTGAGAACGGGAGAGGACCTCTTCAAGAAAGGCGAGCTTAGGCGCTTCCTCAGCAGACGCAGGCGACGGCAGGTGACAGCAGCCGGCAGTGGCCAGCGCGCAACCGCGTGCATTGCAACTCGAGGCAGCATTCTGCCGGGCGCGCGAGCCCGCGAGCGTCGCGCGCCACAACGCGCAGCGCCTGATAATCCCATGTGGCAGCGATACTGGGCCCCATCGCATCCTGCGCTTTGCGAGCGCGAGCGCTCGAGCCTGCCGGGGGCGTTCGCGCGCCTCCTGGCCCAGCGGGCGGGCGGCCCTCGCGTCGCGAACGGACCGCGAGTGTTGACTGGCACCCAAGCCCTGGACGACGCGGCAACAACGCGGCGCCCTCCTGCCAGCGCGCGCGCGCGCGCCTGCGGGTCCCACGGGACGGTGGCTGAGGTTGGCGCCCATTCGTTGTTATTCAAGTGCCAACGTGGCGCGCGATGCACGTCCTCATCGGCGCGCGTCCCGCACATCGCCGCGCGCCGCGGGCTGCGCGTGCCTCCGGCGGGCGTCAGGCGCGCGGCTTCTTCTGAGGAGAATACACCGTTCGCGAATCCCAGGAGCGCTTGTTGTAATCCCCGCGATAGGATCGGGACTGCCACCCGTCGGCTCTGGAATCGCGGTCGTTCTTCCAGGAAGTGACGGCGGCGCCCCCCGCGGCTCCCACGGCGCCCGCGGCGCTCGCGGCGCTCGCACTCTGCCCGCGCGCTGCCGCGGCGCTTTTCCCTGCACCCTTGCCGGCCGGCGCGGCAACCTGCGCGACAGCGGTGGCGCAACGCGAACAAGGGATTCGGCGACGCGGCCTTAAGAGCCCGATCATATTCCGCTTCCGCCGCGCGGAGCAGCCCGACGTCAAGCGACAGCGCCGCAACGTTCACCTGCGCGCCGACGCGCGCCCGAGAATAACGCGCCGAAGCATGGCGCGGAGCTGCGGCCTGGAAGCCTGCCGCGCCGGCGGCGGCACGCTCGGCCCACGTCCTCCGCACAAGGCGGTCGTAGACCAAGGCAACCTGGGCCTTCCGTCCCTGCAGGGGGGCATCCAGTGCAACCTGGGCAAGCGCGCCCACTTCGGCGACCAGCGGACGGGCGCCAATGTCGACTCGCCTGGAGAACAACGTGTTTGTGAGCCATGGCGCTCGTGTACGAAATCTGATCAGTGACCGCGGCCGCCACGCTCCACGCGTCGTAAGCTTGGTGCCATGGCGTCCACGCCAGAAGCGGCTGGCTCTCCGCCGCGGTTCCCCGTCCGAACGCTCTGGCCAACGCGGCCGCCTCTTTCGACTCGGGCTCGTCATCGTCGGGAGAGCCGCCCGCGCCGCGCGCGCAAAGCGGCTGGAACTTCGCGAGCTCAGTATAAATGAACGGGCGCGCGATTCCCCTGGATTTCGCGCGCTGCACCTCGGTGGCCAGCGCATCGGTCTTCGCTGACCTGAGCGAACGATGGAAACGCGCCAGCGCGCCGGGGCGAAGCCGCGCGGCAGCCTCGGCCACAGGGACTCCGGAAGGTCCCTCAAGCTGATCTGGGCCAGGCCAGCGCCGATGTCGACATGCTCTCCCTTCGGCGGGAGCCCAGGATTCTGCAGCAACCGAACCGAAACGACCCGCCGAAGCCGGCGCGGGCCCCGCGGCACCCGGCGCACTCGCCTTGGCTGCCGCCACCGTCGCGCGATCCAGAGCGCGCCGCAGGACGCCCTTCGTCAGCGCCGTCGCGCCATCGGCATCCTTCAAATCGCCGAATTGAAGATTGGCCAATTCTTCTGGCATCGTCAGCCCATTGGCTGCCAGGCAATCAATGGCGCCCTTGAACTGGATATCAGTCCACTTCGCGCCCACAACAGGGTCAGACTGCAAGAAGGCAAGCATCGCCATCGCAATCACAGCGCCACGGGGCACGAGCGAGAACCACGCCAGCTGAAGCCCGCTCGCTTGCATGCCAGCGCGCCATGGTGACGAATGAGAGCGTGCCAACGACAGCTCGTGGTCACTATGGACCAGAAGAGAGGGCCCCATTGGGCACGTGAACGCAGCAGGCCGCTATGGGCCGCAACGAAGCCACTATGGGCCGCAAGGAAGCCACTATGGGCCGAGCGAAGCCCCCAGAGGGCGGAGGGCCGAAACCCGACACACGGCACGGTATTTATATCCCGCCCCAGTGCCAGGCGGAGGAAGCACGGCACGGCACTGCACCACACGACGCGAGCGGGAGGCGGAAGAGGGTCGACCAGCGCGCGGCCGACCAGCCGAGCGAGGGCGCCCCCGCGGCCAGCCGCGGGGTCGTTCACAGCGCGGGCGGATTTGTGCCAAGCAATAACTTCGTTATTCCGACCCCGTAACAGGATCATCACCATCATCATCATCATCATCATCATCATCATCATCATCATCATCATCATCATCATTATTCCCATCAGTATGGCAGTCGGTCGGAGGGCGAATAGGACGAGGAGGATGACCAGCAGCGCGCAGTGAGAAGGGAGGAGGGGAAAGAACAGGACGATGAGGATGACCAGTGAGAGAATAATGAGGACGACAGGAGGGGGCGGAGGATCGAAAAGGGAATGCTGATGCTGCTGCCGCTGCTGCTGATTACAACAATGAAAGCTTATGATGACGACGTGTTGCTGATAATCGTGAAGACGATGACGGCAACGGTGAAGTATCTGGAGTTCTCCAGAGTCCTCTGAGGTCTCCGGAGTCCTCTGAGGTCTCCAGAGGCCCCGGGACCAAAGGGCTAGGAACGCTCCAAGACTTCGACCGTCGTTAGGACGACGACAGGGTCTCCAGACGCACCTACATGCCTCTGCGAAAAGGGCTATGTGCGTGCTTCCAAGCCTTAGAGAGCAGTAATTTTGCCACTACCATGCCCAAGCGTTTGCTCAGCTCGGGGCCGCACCCCAAAAAATTCTGGACCCCTTTGATGGGACGATTTCTGCCGCTGCTACTGCTGCCCCTCCTCCCCCTCGTACTCCAAACGGGGCCCGCAACAGGAAAGAGGCATGACGATGAGGGGGTTGAGACGGAGGAGGATGAGGAGGAGGAGGGCTCTCTCTCTCTCTCCCTCTCTCTCTCTTGAGACGACGACGACGACGACGACGACGACGACGACGACGGACGTCGACGACGACGAAGCAGTGCACTTTTTGCGCGATGTCACGACGGGCCCACGGGCGGCGCCCTCGGCGCACCCCGGCCGGGGCGGCGGCTCGGGGCGCTCAGAAGTTGAGCAGCGTGCGCTCCTCTGGGAGCAGGCCTCCCTCCTCCTCCTCCTCCTCGAAAGCCTCCTCCTCCTCCTCCTCCTCCTCCTCCTCGAGGGCCTCCCCGATGGAAGGCCTCCTCTTCTCCTCCTTCCTCCTCCTCCTTCACCTTCTTCTTCTCCTCCTCCTCCTCCTCATCTTCGAAGGCCTCCCCGAGGGAGGGAGGGAGGGGTAGGAGGAGCGTGGGCAGAGGTAGGCAGAAACATAATCGACTATCAGGTGTTGCAGGTAGCAGCATGGTTGCCGACGGGCGTAATGACGATGGGGCAGGCGTAGCAAAGTCTATTGTGCCCCAGCCAGAGCCAGATGATTATTTTCCAAATTAAATATCGGTCTCGAAGGGCGTTGTCAGAATCCGGCTACTTCCGCTTGCTGGGGAGTGTGAAACAATTGGCTACCCGCCTCTTAGCCATATATCAGCTCAACATGGCTGAGACCCATGCCGTCATGTAAAGCCTTCTAGCCAATACCTAGTCCTAGACACTTTCATGGCCTCCTCACTTCGTCTAGGGGTCGGCGGAATGGTGTACACCTCGTCATTACACACATATCCGCCACAGGGCCTTGTGCCCGTTGGGGCGTGTGAGAATGCTCGTCTGTTGTCTGGGAGCTTTTTCAAAATGGTTTCTAGGGCAAGTCGACCGCCTCCCCCGCGCGTCCCAAAAAGCTAGCCCCCCCCTCCTGAAAGTACTCCCCGGCGCTCTTTTAGGTCTCCAGACGGCCTCCAAGGCGGCTTCCAAGCCAGCCAAGACGCACCAAAACGGCTGAAGATGGCCCAAATCGGCTCAAGAGGCTCCCAAGACGGCTTAAGAAGCCCCTCAGCCCTCAGGCGGCCCAAGAGGGCTCCGAGAGGCTCTCCAGGAGAGCCCGAGTAGGCAAAGAGTATTGAACTTCATGAAATGTTCAACAGGTTGTGAGATTCTCGCCTGTTCGGGTATCCGACCGCCCAAGACGGCCCCAGAGGCCTCCAAGAGGCCTTCAATATAGCTCCAAGACAACCTAAGAGGCTCCCACGAGGACCCAAAGATCGCCCGATGGGCCTCTAGCAGGGCCCCAAGACTGCCCTGAAGCACTTGGTCACGCGAATGTTGCGTCTGCGCTGGCCCAGCTTACTTTTTTGATCTTCATCCGGGATGGTTGCACTAGGGCAGAACATGTGCGTGACTGCAGCACGTGTTGTAGCCACATTCGGTGGCAACTCATGGGAGCCTCCCATACCATCTTGTCGGCTCTTGCGAGTCGACGCTAAATTGGCGCTGCCTCATCGACTCCCAGACGCTAATCGACGCTAAAGACGGAATTGCGAGGGTACACCAGGCTCCCATGATTTGCCACCGAAGCCACCCAAATTTCGAGCATTGCTTTGCAGTTCGCGCTGTTGGTTTTGGTGCTCTCTCCTCGGCTCTGCTCTTCTCGTCTCGGTTACGCTCTCGTCGTCTCTCCTGATGCCTTCCCTAGACCAGCCTTCTCGCGGGGGACCTGCGCGCAGCAATGCTGAAATCCGGGCCGTTCGAAGGATGGCACCGGAGCCTCGGTCTGCTTGTGCAAGATACGCTTGTTTGAACCAGTTGGTGGACTTCTTCCCCCTGGACGTCGACCTGTTCACGTCCTTCCGCACGCAGCACTTGAGGATGGTGATTTTGATGCGCCGTCGACGGGAACACCACACCGCTCACCCTCCGGGACTTCGCCTCGGGCTCCTGCCCAAGGTGTACCTTTTCCTGTGCAAGCTCCTCAGCACCGCCTGCACCCCGCGCCCTCCGGCCGCCTGAGGCCCCGCCCGCCCGCGCTCTGTCTCCCCAATTAGTGCTCTGCGCGGCCCGCCTAGCTCTTAACCGGAAGAGGCTCGCTCTCGACCCGCAGACCAAAAAACGTTTGAACCAGTTCTCGTCTGCCTGATTGAAGGGGCCCTGGGACACACAAATAAATACACACACATAAAAATATTACCCATATCGTCCCACATTTTCTGGGGAGTCGACGATGAATTGTGTCTGTGTTTTTTTTCTCCTCCTGCCTGATGTGCCTCGCGCAGGCTCGCCTCTTGGGGGCCGTGCGCGCGCGAACCGCCCGCTGCGGCTCCCGGAGACGCCTCCCGACAAGCGCGGCCAAGCGAAGCTCGGCCGGCCGCACTCAGCTGGGCAAACTCGGCTCGGAAAAAACTCGGCGGACAAACTCGGACCAAGAGAAACTGGGCAGAGACCTCCCAAAGGCCCTCAGGATGCTCCCAGGCAGGCTCAAGAGAGTTATAAGAAGCCTTCTCCTCCTCGTCCTCTTTGTCTCCTGCTCCTCCTCCTCCTGCTTCTCCTCCTGCTCCTCCTCCTCCTCCTCCTCCCTACCGCGCGGACGAAGACGAGGTCGAAATCACGACCCTTCGCAATTCAGACCAATTGCTGAATTGCCGTGGGGCGTTGTACTCGGCAACCTTCCTTCCGTGCGGACGAAGTCGAAGTCGAATTCACGACCCGTCCCAATGCAGACCACTCGTCGGAATCGCGCTATTCTTACACTCAGCCTCCTTTCTGCTTCGCTGTTGCACAGGCACAGTGGCGGGGTTTACCACAGGCAGCTGGATGCACAAAATTGTTCACACCTTAATAGACACATATGCACATACCACCACAGTGCCTTCAGCGCGTACTGGAGTGCCCGCATGCTCATGCAGTTGTGAGAGGTGGATGGAGACATGGTAGATCCTGAAGGGCTCGAACCAAGGACCTCCTGGAATTATTGGCGCTCTTGGAGTTTCTCAGGTGGTCCTCTGGGACGGTGAACTCGCCCAAAACAACCCCTCAAACCCATATGTCTTTCAGAGAAGCTTCTCCTCTAAGATGATCCAAGTAGAGACCCGAGACGGCCAAAGAGCGTTTCAAAACGCCCAAGATGGCCTCCAGACGCCCCAGGAGAGATACCGAAAATCATTGATCGTCCTGACGTTTTTGAAGGATTCGAGCATTCTCGCCTTTTCGGGTCTGTGGAATCCGAAGACGGCCTGAGATGCCCCCACGATCGCCCCAAGAGGTCCCCAGATGCCCAAACCCAACGAGCAAAAAGACCGTGCGAACAGGGAGACAATGTTTTTTTTTGCTCAAGATGGCTCCAAGAGTACATCTGTATGGCCCCACACGCACGCGAGTCGCCCAAGATGACATCAAGAGAGCTCAAGATGACCCCAATATGCCTCCCATGCGGCCCCAGAGGGTCTCCAACGGAGCTCCAAGAGACCCCTAGAAGGGGCCCGAAGATGCCGACATCAGGAGGAGGAGGAGGAGGAGGAGTAGGAGGAGAAGGAGGAGGAGGAGGAGGAGGAGGAGGAGGAGGAGGAGGAGGAGGAGGAGGAGGAGGAGGAGGAAGAGGAAGATCAATTTCCCGTACTTGCGCTAATTTTCGAGATCTCGCCTTTCCGGGCTTCCGAAGTCCGAGGACGGCGCCGCAGGCCTCCAAGACAGCCCCAGGACGGGCCAAGAGCCCCCCAGCAAGGCCCCACAGACCTTCCAGCCAGCTTTAGAAAAGGTCAGGGAGGACCCCCAAACAGCCCAGAGGGAACCCCAAGACGGCGTCCGAAGGCCAAGAGGCCCTTCGAGAGGCCACCAGCAGCCCCCAAGCGGCCCCCAAGAGGCCCCTACTAGCTGCCCTCAGAGGCCCCCAAGATGTTCCCAGCAAGTCTCCTCTCTCGTCGTCCCACAAGCGTTCCCCAATGGTCTCAACAACGACTGGGAGAACATATAGCCCAATCATCTGGCAATACTTTGGCCCAACGTTTAACCAAACAGGCGTTTCTAATAGGCAGCGGGCGGCGGTGGCTCGCCGTAGGCGTCTCCGATCGTAAAGGGCAATACTAGGGGGGACAAGGAGGAACCGAGAGGGAGTGGGGGAGGAGAAGGCGGATTCAGAGGAGCAGGCGGGAAGCGGAGAGGGGTGAGGCGGAGAGGGATGAGGCGGATAGGGAGGGTGCGCGGGGGACTGATGTCGAGGAGGAGGACTGGAGTGACTGCGGATGTGGACGAGCGTCCGCTCCTCTGGGACGCCCAAGCCAGCGTACACCTCGCGGACGCCCTGCACCATCTCCTGAGGTGCGGGTGCTGCCTCCCCCATCTTCCCTCCCCCGCTTCGCTCCTCCCAGCGTCGCCCCCCTCTTCCTCCCCCGACCTCCTCCTCCGCCCTCCCCTCCTTCTTCCTCTCCTCGCCTCTTCCCTTGTCTGCCCTCGCTCGTCTCTCTTCGTCCTCCTCCTCCGCAGGCTCCGGCTCCAGCTCCGGCTGCTGCTGCTGCTGTTCCTCCTCCTCATGCTCTGCCCCCCGTCCACGTTCCAACGGCCTCGATCCTCCTCCTCCCTTCTCGATTCACTCTCATTCCCCATGAGTCCTTACTGCTCCTGCTGCTGCTGCTCCTCCTCCTCTTCCTCCTAAACCCCTCCTCCTCCTCCTCCGCCTCCTCCTTCTCCTCCTCCTCCTCACGCCCGCCTCCTGCTCCAGCCGTTCTGCGCTCGGTGGTGTTGCGCCCTCGTGCGTTGCCGACGCCCTTCTTCAGAACGGCCTGCGTCGGCGGGCCGAATGCATTTTCGTCCATGGTACCTCCCGCGGGTCTCGCGTCGAGAGTGTCAGGAAATGGCTCCGTACACTCCGAGGCCGTCGTCGGCCTTTTCGGTCGCGTGCCCGGTGCGCTCGAGCGGCGAGCTGGGCATGTCGGATCGAGTGCCTTCGTGGTGCTGCCGCCCCTCTCGTGCTGTGCAGGCGGCTGGACAAGAGCGGGAAAGGTGGGATCGGGCAGCCAGCAACGGGGCCACCGCGTGCTCCCAAGGGGGTAGGTAAGTGGGCGCCTCCTCGCGGGGATCTGGTGGCCACCATCACGGCTGCTCAGGACAAGCAGTCTGATCAGACGTTCAAGCTGGTTGCCAAGGACTCGGCGGGTTCAGCGGCGACGGCGTCTGCTGGTCAGATGGGTTGTGATTCTGCTGAGCCTAATCCTGATGACCTCCGTGCTGCACGCATCGAGTTCATGGAAAAAAGCCATCAAGCAGATGGCAGATGTCGGAGACACGGGCCCAGCCAATACGTTCTTGGAGGACCAGCTGCGCGAGGCTCGTAAGGTCCAACGCAGCGCCAAACTTGTGTTGCAACAGCATGCCAACATCGCATTCCGCCTGCAGGCTGCCCAGCGCAAGCAGTCAAAGGCGGCTGAAGCTACTGCTGCCCAGGTCAAGGTCATCGAGTCGGCTCAAAGGTAGCTGGCTGATTTGCAGGACAAAGAGGCTTCTCTCCTCAAGCCTGCGGTTCAGGCTTTGGGCGAGCTGCAGGCTATGCTACCACGGGCTTCGAGCTGCTATCAGAGGTATTCGAGGCCATTGCTGATGTCGAGGAGCTGCTGTCCAACGCCGTCTTCGCCAAGCTGCAGTCCCTACTCCAGCAGGCGCAGGCTCAACCACAACCAACAACTGCTTCTCCTAGGCCTGCCAACGCACAACCGCAGCCTGGTGCGGCCGACCAGCACATGCCGCAAGCCTACAAAAGCTTGTCGGAGGAGGACGTCGAGACGTTGCAGACGGCAACTTCAGGTGGCGGTACAAGGGTTTTCGATGAGACGCTCGAAGCTTTGAGGTCAAGACGGCCAAGGCCGTCGCAAGTGCTGCGCCTGCTGCTGCTCGGCCAACCGAGCATCCGTATCGCTCTCGACCGTATGTCGCTGGTTCGTGGACTCCCTTTCTCGTCGTTTGGTATGATTGCTCCCCAGGGTATGCCGAGTGGAGCTCCTGATGCGACAAGGGATGGACAGTTTTTGAGACGTTCAATAGCAGTTGCAGGGCCACGCTCACGTATAGACTCAGCATGTCTACTTCGTTGATTGTGTGGTTGTGTGTGCGCGCAAGAGATTGGCACATGACCTCAAGCACTTCCAGACCTCCAGCATGCAGACCTCGAGTGCTGTGCAGTCCGTCTGTGGAATGTGCCCATGGTTCGCATTCAACAGGTGTAACAATTTTGGTTCCGAGCTTGTCAAAGGGATGCTCATCTCAAACGTCATCGATATTATTGGTGGCCGTCACTACTGGTGTTCTCAGCGTATTTCCATTTGAGTGTGGGCTTGGGTATTTCCAGCACGCCTTGCCCACCACTTTGGGCAGCTCAATATCGAAGTCTGTTGGTTCATTCCTTGTCGGTGCTGATTGGAACATGCCGGCGGCGATCATCGAGCAGTCTGACTTCACGCGCAAGGCTGGCCTGATGGTGATGGCGCCAGCTCGACCCACATGTGCGATGGCGACGTCGACCTCTATGATTGATTGCTTCATGCCATTGTCGGACATCGTGCGAGTCGTCGACAGAGTGAGGGAATTCACGCAGTGGCATGGTGGACCTCATAAGCCAGTTCGACTCCACCTTCGGCCTGAAGTTCTCAATCTCGCCTGTTGGGCCTCAACCAGGGCCGAAGGCGTATGCGGCCGCCAGCACTGTGGCAAATGATGCTGCTCACGCTTCTCAGTTCGACTGTCTCGGTGGCGGCTTGGTAGAAGATCAACGTGGCGTGCAAAATTTCCTGGAAAGTGCAACGCTGGAGCTCGCTGATGTCTTAGATGCGCCGCTAACGAATGCTACTAGGGGGCGCTAACTCTCCAGAAGGTGGGTTCTAGTCATGGGGTGGAAGGACTCGGTGACAGATAATATGCAGACATGTCGAGGATGGCAATGGTTGTATCGAATGTGGCACGAATTGGACATGGCCATCCAGAGGGACCCAACCATGCATCATGATCCCGCGGCGACGTCCCTCATCAGTGCTTGCATGCCAGGGAACTTCTGTGGTGAAGGTTTGGATGTCCGGCTTGATGCCCATGTAGACGCTATGCGAGAGCTGATGCGCACCTTCCCTTCGGTCAAGCCTCATCCTCGATGGTGCCGTGCTGAAATCTTCGGCGACCAAGTCACCCAAGAGTTCGAGGCGGCAACTTCTGAGGCAGCCAAGTTTCGGCCCCAATCGTAGACATAATGGTGCGATGAAGCGCTCACAGGATCGGCCAAGCTGACGCATATGATCACGAAGCTGCAACAGACGTGGTGTCCGGTAGCTATCGAGGCGGCGCCTGGAGCCGCCTCCAACAACCCAGAAGAGCTACTTCGACATGAAGCTGATGCGCTATGTGTTCAGTGGAAGGCCACCTCTGTCCCGCCTGCTGCAGAAATACCAGATCGACAATGTTTACCCCGTGCTACGATGGAGGGGATACGCAACGCATCGCGAACATTTGGGCAATTCACGACATCCGTACTCCACGGCTTCCACCCCAGGCACTCGTGTTTGCTGGAAGATGCAAGTATTTCCTCGCTGATTGTGCGAAACGAGGCTGTCGAACGGTTGAGCTTATTGCCAAGGCATGTCATATGGATGATATTTCCGCTGACTGACGCGCCAGCTGGAGGGCATCGTGCTATTTTGTTGCTCACTCGTTCGAGTCTGGGAACGTTCGCGCAGACCGCAGCTTGACCCCCTGGTCCGCAGCAGCGGAACGACAATATTGGGTTATCGGGGCAAGTAAGCGTGCTGAATCATGTGTCTGGGCCCATGCGACCTTGGCTGAGGCCGCGCCGACTGAGGAGAAGGTTGTCTTGGGAGTCCTGTGGGATGGTAAGACATATTACGAGTCCTGTGATCTGGAGTTGCCAAAGCAGACATACACTTGGGAGGTCCCTAGGGTCATAGTCAAGTCGGTGCACAATCTTTGGAGACTCTCAAGGCTCATCAGGCTCGGATCGGCGTTCCATACTTTTGCTCGTTTCGCGTTCAGTGGCCTGCATACAGGCGTCTTTTTTAACGCCTTTGTCAAGTCTACGCCATCGGTACCTTCGACGATTTCGCGACTCGCTTCCAGACGGCTCGGCTTTCCTCATACATCGACGACGCTACACTAATGGCTATACGAAATAAGGCTACGCTATTACAGGTGCTACCAGAGGCTGATCAAGATTTTCAACAGACTTTCGAGGATGAGTTGAAGGCGACGTCTCTGATGCGATGGGTATCACGATTGCTAGCATAAGTTCCCTATCTCAGGCTCTTGCTCATCGATTATATCGACGTAGGCTTCCAACGGGGCCAATCACTAACTTGTCGGTCAACCTCGGAGCCGACTTTATGCCGGCACGATCGAGATCAAGTAAGGGCGCTCGTCGGAAGCGACGGAGCCCATTTCGACAGATGCGATTTCGCAATATCAAATTTCGACGTTTTCGCCGCTCGAGGTTGAATCATATGCACCGCGTAGCGATAATACATACCACTGGGCTCAAGCCCGCTTTAACGTATGGCCGTGCAATCTTGGGGATGAACGACTACGGATTGAAGAGGGCTCGTGCCAAGTTGCTTAGTTTCCGCTCCCCTGCTCATCGAGGTGCTTCGCTGATTGCAAAGTGTGTGCTCCATGGCGACCCGATTGCAGATGCGAGTATGGCTCCAGCTTTTCAGTGGGTAGTTGCAGTCTGGCAGGCGGCAGTCGCACCAGAGCGCTCTTTTTTCTTGGGAGCTGGGCGAGAGCTGGCAAATCCGTGGCTACTAAAACGGTCTTCCCGGAAGAAAAAACAAATTTGAGGAATCAAACACAGCGCAATGAATAGTAAACGGGCTGCTTCCCGGAAGGAAAACATCAATTTCCTAGAGCTCCGTTTCAGCAGCCACGGGTTTGCTAGCCGTCGCCCCGCTTCTGTTTTTCACGGTAAGAGATCATACCAACATGTTCCAGGCAGTGAGGGACAACATGCAGCCACATCACACTTGGCGGCACATCAAGGGGCCCATAGCACGCATGATATTGTCTTTGAAGCGTGTAGGTTGGGAAGCTAAGAACGTCTCGACGTGGGTGGATGATCATGGCGTGGAGTTGTCTCTGTTGTACTCGGCGCCCGTCCTCATCAAATCTCTTCTCAAGAATGCTGTTCAACGTTAGCATGAATGTACCGTGGTCTCTGTTGTACACGAGTTCACGGACACGCGCGTATGTGCGCACATTGCGTGCAGAGTGGTGTGCACGTCTACGAAGTACACACCTATGCAGAAGTATGCAGCAGCGAATGCTTTTTTGCCAGGTACACCTCACAAGTGAAAGACTCTGAGATGTACGGTATGCTTCAGACGGTCTCTGCTCGATGTGCGATGTCAGGGACAACCTCCACCATAGACTGTATGTGTGCACTAACCACTAACCCTGATGTCAGAGATGGCTGGGAAGAGGTGGCAGAAGCTGACTTGATAGACGAGGGATGGCAAACAGGCTCGGAACATCGCTTCTGGACCCGCCTTATCCTCCCTCACCCTGCTGCGACGTTCCAGCCGCCCACTGACCTCTTGCACCCCCAGGCTTTGGACCCAGATGGCCAAATCCCTCACGATTTCGCGATTCTCGATCGTGCGAGTGGTGCCGTCGTCGGTGGGTCGTGCATGAGGCCGCCGGTTCTCGAACTCGCAAGGGTGGCCTGTGCGGTTCTCCTCCGGCTGCAGGCACGGACGAACAGGTGGCACGCCTCCGTGGATCAGTGTGGCCGGGCATACCGCAGACTCCCCAGGCTGCCGACCGAGCACCTGGCCATCGTCACCGTGAGTTATGGTTCGGCAGAACATTATTATTCCCTACCTGGGCTCTGCCTAGAGGGTTCTTACTTTGTTTGCTTAAACGCCCCAGGCGGTTCCCCCAGTCCCCGCCCCGCGGTTCCCCCAGTTGCGCCCCCTGGGTTCACCCAGCTTAGCTAAGCTAAACTAAGCTAAACTAAGCTAAGCTTAGCTTATCTCATCTCATCTTAGCTTAGCTTAGCTTTGCCTAGCCTAGTTTAGCTTAGCTTATCTAATCTTAGCTTAGTTTAACTTAGCTTAACTTAGCTTAGCTTAACCTAGCCTAGCTTAGCTTAGCATAGCTTGCCTTAGCTTAGCGCAGCATTAGCACAGCATAGCATAGCCAAGCATAGCATAGCATAGCATAGCTCAGCATAGCATAGCATTGCTTAGCATAGCACAGCGCAGCATAGCATAGCATAGCATCTTGTTGCTTTCCTAGAGGCTCCAACTCCTAGGTAGGGTCGCACTAAGATAATCTTTTTTAGACTGCTCAGGCCCAGCAAGGTTCATCCGCTAGCCCAGCAGGTGCGCTCGCGGCGTGTGCGCGGTTCTCCGTCGGGGTGTCTGAAAGCTCGAGGGTGCCAGGTTCGTGGGCCCAGCTCTTCACACGCCTGCTCACACAAGCACGGCGGTGGTCGACCTGCTCCCTCTCGAGGAGAGGGGAACCGACCGAGCCAATTCTCTAGCTCATCGATTTGCCGAGCGATGCTTTGCAGATGCATGCCGAGGATGACCCATCGAGTTTTGGGAAGCTTGGGAGGCCCTGATCGGTATGGCCCATGTGGTTGTCCGAGTGATGGATGCGGTCCTCCCCCTGTTCCACTTCCTCCAATTCTCTGAGCGGCCCAAGGTCCCACGCCCGCGCAACACTGGTGCGGAGAGGTGACACGCTTGGACGGTGGTGCCCGGGGCCCCAAGCAATGCCATCTGTCACGGCTGCCACGCCAAGGCTCTCAATGCTCGTGCCGCGAAACTCGATATGTCAGGGTGTCCAAGGAGGTAGCCCAAATTCGCCTCCTTCACGGCACCCTAGCTTAATTGCCACGTGAGAGTTTGCACTCGTATCACCAGTGGCCTCTTGTGTGTTGTCGGCGGTGCGGAGCGTACAGTGGGGACCGCCTCAACCGACAGCTGGAGAAGACTCGCCGAGACTATGTCTCATCGCGGTGTCGCCTCGGCCGAATGCTCCCAGGCCTTCACCAACAGTCGAATCGTGCGAAGTCTGGGGATGTGCTCCATATCTTAAGTGATGTGGACCGGTGATAGGTTGCTGCAGACTCAGCAGCCTGCCCAGCGAATGGCTTTCCTCCAGCAGCCTGGGCTAATATTATCAAGCAATGACCTTTTCCCAAGGCTCGAGGCCCTCAGGCCGAAGATTGTGGCCCGTGAGGCTTAGTGAATTTTGATGTTGATGGCTTTCCCCCGGAAGACATTAAGATAAGATCTTCTCCTGCTCTGGCTGCTCCTCTGCTCTTCGGCTCCTCCTCCTCCTCCTCTTCCTCCTCCTCCTCCTCCTCTTCCTCCAACTCCTCCACCTCCTCCTCCCCCTCTTCTGATCGTATTGATGATGACGACGATGGTGGCGATGGACAATTCTGGTACGTTTGCTGATGGTTATGCTGGTGATTGTACTGATGCTGCCACTGTTGATGATGATGGTGTTGCTGGTAATGATACTGACACCGATGATAATGATGATAATGATGATGATGATGATGATGATGATGATGATGCTCATGATGATGATGATGCTGGTGGTGGCAATGATGATGCTGGTGGTGGCGATGATGCTGACGATGATGATGCTGGTGGTGGCGATGATGATGCTGATGATGCTGATTATGATGCTGCTGATGGTGACGATGATGCTAGTGGTGGCGATGATGATGATTATGATTATGATGCTGACGGTGATACTGCTGCTGATGATGCTGCTTATGCTGATGCTGCTTATGATGATGATGCTGCTGCTGATGATGATGATGCTGATGCTGCTGCTGCTGCTGCTGCTGATGATGATGATGATGATGCTGATGGTGCTGCTGCTGCTGATGATGATGACGATGACGATGACGATGACGATGACGATGATGATGATGATGATGATGATGATGATGATGATGATGCTGATGCTGATGATGATGATGACGATGATGATGAGCAGCGCTGCGGAGAGAACCCGAGGCTCCCAAGAGACAAGAGGGTTGGGAAAAAGATGAGGAGGAACCGAGGACTGGCGGTGAAGGGTAGAGAAGGATGACCAATACTCCGAGGACGGCAATACGACGACGAGAACCACCAGGACGGAGGACGGGGGAGGATTATCAGCACACAACGCAGTATGAGGGAGGAGGGCGACAGGGGGAACCAGGGAGGGAATGGCCAGAACAGCGCGTATCTCCTTCTGACCGCACAGCAGCGCCCCGTGCTTCGCCGCGAGCACGAACCTCGGGGAAGCCGAAAAGGCGCACGGATGGTGAGCCTCGGTCGATTCCTCGTGGGGATCCTCCTCCATCCTCCGCTTTCACAATGTCCCCTCGTCATTTTCCTCCCTGCTCCCTCCCTCCCTCCCTCCCTCCTCCTCCTTCTTTCCTCCTTCTTCCTCCTCCTGCTCCCTCCTCCCTCTTCCTCCCCCCTCCTCCTCCATCACTTCTCCTTTCAAACAACAGCTCCTCCCTGTCGCACCCGCCGATGGGGCGGATCGGGCACGTTTCGCCCGAAGCTTCCTCACCATTTATGATCCTGAAGCCTCAGCTTTGCAGCAATTTCGCACATGGAACGCGGGTGGTCTTCAGCATGTATCTCTGACCGTAGAGCCGCGTGTCTTACAACTTATAGCAACAATTTCACGGACCGAGGGCGGGACCCCTCTCACAGTGCCGCTCTCACCTTCGCGCCGCGTACGTTCGTCTCCACGAGCCCGCGACAATGCCACGGGCGGGTGGTTTCAGAAGGTGGCTCGCGCCTTAGCGCCGCGCGCAATCGTCTGAAAAGCTTATGTAGCAAATTCAATGGCTGGAGGACGGCTCCCTTCCCAAATGTGGCTTTCGCATTGGCGGCGCGCGCATTCGCCATACAAGTTTGACATCGTTTCAAGGGTTCGTATGGTTGAAGTCCCAAAAATGTGGTTCTGGCCATTGTTTTTTGTTAGGACGCAACAGTCACAGTGACTCGCGGAGTTGAGGTCCCAGGAGCGCTTTCTGGCACGATCAAGGCTTGCCAGGACGCAACTGTCACGTTGATTCGCGGCGGCGAAGTTCCAGGAGTTGTGTTTTGGCACGATTGAGGATTCTCAGACGGTCGTCTTCCATTGGGGCACTCCCAGCAATGATGATGCATCCTTGTAGGGACCGGTGACGAGAAAACCTGGAGGGAGGGTTTACAGGAACATCGTTGGTGCGTCTTGGCTTTGCACTGGTCCTCCTCCTCCTCCTCCTCCATCTCGTCCCTCTCCTCCCTGTGCCCTTTTCCTGCCTCCCACCTCTCCGTACCCTCCTCGGTTCCAGCCGCCGTATCGGGACTCAGCCCCTGGCTCGAAAGGCGAGGAAACCCACCACGCAGCAGTACCTCGACGACCGACAGGTTGAGCAGGGACCGACCGTCCCGGCATTCCTATAGTCCTACCACGACATGTTCTTCGAATCCCGAAATGCTCTAATATCAGAAACAATGTTCTTAGAACATAAGCCAGATGTGATACAAAAACAAGACAGTCCCAAACAGAAATGTTCTAAGAATATTTCGTGGAAATCACAAAAGGTTCTAAGAACATTGCTTGGTAGGGCTATAGGCGAGCCAAGACGCTTCGCCACTGCTTGAACATGGCCCCTCGGGATATAGCAACGAGGAGGTGGTCTAGCTTTCGGCCCGCGCTGCCCGACGCGGCGCCACCCGGAGTGATGAACGGGCGCCGCGGGGGGGCCTGCTGCAGGCACCCGGACAAGTCAACTCTCCTCCTGCTCGTCGCGCCCGCATAGTGGCAGGGCGGGCGGGGCGTTTCGCCCGCATAGTGGCAAAAAGTACACCAACGTGCATCGATCGTACGGCTTGATTGTCTTCACTTGATCGGGGTCTGGATCCGAGTCGTGGGGGGTATCCCACGGGATTCCCATGGGGGCTAAGAGAGTGTCGACGGGTCGACGTCAGGTGCGCACCTCGGAGTCGATCGGTGGGACCAGTGGGGGGTGTGCTTCACCGATTGCGACCCCGAAGCCCTCAACCATGCCAAGAGTCTCGGGCGGAGAGCGGCTTGCTCTTCAAACCGTGGCTCCCGCTGCGGCGCCGCCCACGTTAGCTTTTTGCACCTTGGAGACAACTGCTGCACGGATGGGCGGGGGGCGAGCCCTTCTCAGAACGGGACCCTCGCTGCGCACTTCCTCACCTGCCAGGTGGTCGGGCAGCATAAACGTACACCAACTGCGCGGGCGGACGGCGGCTCTGTTTCAGAACTGCACTCTCCCGCGGGCTTCTCTAGAAGAGAGGATTCATGCTTCTCTTGTGTTTCCATTCTTTGTCTTTCCAAGTGTGTATGTGTGTGGGCGTGTGTGCATCTCCGACCTATGCGTATCCTCGACGATTTGTGGGAGAGCCGAGGGGGGATGCACGTCGCCGACGACGAGAATGAGGGGATGAGCACCGCCGACGAGGGAATCGTCCGGAGCACGACGGACAAGACGAGCTCGCCCTGTGCCGCATGGTCACGCAGGGCTGCTTCGCGCCTCTCCAGCCCCTGACGCCGCATCAAGCCAGCGCAAGCGACGGGAGCTTGCGCGTTGCTGGGGCAAGACCTGCGCGCTGCCCTGGCAGTGGGCCCCAGTGGGCGGACCACGAGGGCGCGGCCGACTGCCTGGCAGGCGATGCGTATCCTACAGATTCGCTTGGGGACCCTTCTCGCGAGTCGCCACCTGTTGGGGCCGTGGAGACGCAATGCCCAACGGCCGAGCTGGCCACCTGTCCGCCCGCTGGCGGCGCGAGCTCGGAAGGCGGGCGCAAGACCCCCGAGCTCGACAGGCCGTGCGGCCAGGCTTCGCCCACCCGGCTACCCTCCTGGGATGGTTCGCGGGTTTCTCCCCCCACCGCTGCGGACAGTGTCCTGCTTCCAGCGGGCCCGGGCGTGCATGGCCACCCGTCGCGCTCGGACAGCGCAGCGGCGAGCGACGCCGGCGTGCGGACGGAGGTCCAGAGGCCTCGCGCGCCGGATGTCTCTTCGACCGCGTCGCGGACGGCAGTCTGGCAACCGTCGCTGAGGGCGGCAGAGGCAGTGGCGCACGACGAACGCGTGCATCCCGCCGATCCCCCACCAATCGTGACCCACGCGCCCGCCGTGGAAGCACCGTCTGGGAACATACCTTGCATCGCCTTAGGGCACGGTGTCCTCTGGAAGATTGTCAAGGAAGCTTGGGCTGATTCCCCGTGGACTCGTGAACGCTGGGGCCCCTTCACCTGGGGTTGCAGAGTCCAAGAGAAGGGGCGAGCTCGCCCAGAAGTGGTTCACAAACAAGTCGTGATCAACTTCCTGCGCTCCCTACCAGCCCGCGGGCGGCAACCGGCTTGCACGCGCGTCCCGCCAGTCTCGGCTGGCCCGACTGTCCAGCGCAAAGCAGTCGACGACGCCGACTCGGCTGGGCACCCACCAACCACGACCCAGGCGCCCGCCGCGGAGGCACCATCTGAGGACACCCCTCGCATCGCCTTAGGGCAAGGTGACCTCTGGCGGATGGTCAAGGAGGTGTGGGCTGATTCCCCGTCGAGTCGTGACCGCTGGGGTCACTTCACCTGGGATTGCAAAGCCCAAGACAAGGGGCGAGCTCGCCCAGAAGTGGTCCCCAAACATGTCGTGATCGATTTCCTGCCCTCGCTACCAGCGCACGGGCGGCAACCGGGCTGGCACGCGCGTTCCGCCAGTCTCGGCTGGCCCGATTGTCCAGTGCAAAGCAGTCGACGACGCCGACTCGGCTGGACACCCACCAATCATGACCCACGCGCCCGCCGCGGAGGCACCATATGAGGACACATCTCGCATCGCCAGGCTAGGACAAGGTGGCCTCTGGCGGATGGTCAAGGAGGCGTGTGCAGATTCTCCGTGGACTCGTGAGCACTGGGGTCACTTCACCTGGGATTACATAATCCAAGAGAAGGGGCGAGCTCGCCCAGAAATGGCCCCTAGACAAATCGTGATCGATTTCCTACACTCCCTACCAGCACACGAGTGGCAACCGGCTGGCACGCGCGCCCCGCCAGCCTCGGCAGACCCAACTGACCAGCCCAAAGCAGCCGAGGGCCCTGACTCGGTCGGACACCTGGCCTCGTGGCACGTATCGAGCGGCTGGGGGGCCAGAGCAAGATCGGTTGGAGAGCTCACTGCGCGCAGTTCGGCGGCAACGCGCTGGGCCCATGATGGCATGACGTGAGCGTCCTGCACGGTTTCCTCGCAGAGTGTTAGATACGACGCCCCAGTCGCCGGCAAGGAGCTGCCGCGCTGTCAGGCCGTCAAGAGTTTTTGGCCATTTCACACACCGAGCAGTCGCTCATGTCAAACCTCGATGCCTCCTGGTTTGCTCCGTTGCTCACCGTGTGGTCGCTCAGGGCACGCGCCGGTCGGCGCTCCCGCCCCTCTCCAGCGGCGCTCCCCTCCGCGGTGGTTCGTCGGTCCCTCCTCCTCTCCTCCTCCTCCTCCTCCTCCTCCTCCTCCTCCTCCTCCTCCTCCTCCTCTTGGGTTGCGGGTTTCGCTCGGTCCTCGCCGTCGTCGGTCGTGGGCTCGGCTGCGCCGTGGGGTCCCCCGCCGTCGTCTCTCTGGGCTTCCCTCCTGCCTCTGCCCCTGCTTGCTCTCTCCCCCCGTCTCCTCCTCCTTCCGGGTCGTCGTCCCCGCCGCGGGGGGTGAGCCGCTTCCGCGTGCGCGCCTGGCGGTCGCTGCCGGCGTGGTGCGCCTCTTTTGCTCCCCCTCCTCCTCCTCACTCTTTATTTTGTTGTTGTTGTTGTTGTTGTTGTTGTTGTTGTTGTTGTTGTTGTTGTTGTTGTAGTTTTTTTTTTTTTTTTTTCCTTTCCCCCTCCCCTCTCTCTTTGCGCGTCGGCCCCCTTCCTGGTGCAGCACGGCCCCCTTGGGCTGTGCGTGCCAGTGAAGGGCCACCATGGCGGGGGCCTCTGGGGTTGGTCTCACTTTTGGTGCCCACTCCTCGCCATCGCTTGGACGTCCATCCCCTGTGTTTTTTTTCAGTTTCGTGCGTGGTTTCTTCGCCAAATGATCAAGGATGCTCCTCGATGGTCCTCGCCGAAAAAAATGCACACGTCCGAGCGATGCCAAGAATCACGCCCCCGCCCAACTATGAGTGAGACTCCTGTTGCACTGGGCTGCGGGGGCTGCGGGTCGATCCGTGCGGGGGATCGGCCTGACCCTCGCGCGAGCCGCCGATCCCACAGCGGCTCCCGCCGAAGCCCCCGCCGCCCCGCTTGGCTCTGGCAGTGCCTTCCGTGAGCCTCGCGGCGCCTTCCGCGTCTTGTCCGAAGCGTCCTTGGTCGATTCGGTGGCGACCTTGACGTCGGTGCGTACAGTGTACCTCGCGTCTTTACCTGTGCTGCCTGAGCGGTGCCCTGTCAAGATATTTCGGTCGGCGCCTCTATGGCAGCCTGCTTTCGGCTAACTTGGACGTGTCACTGACACTGGCTTCTCTCGGTGGCGTGAATACCCACCAAGGGCTTTACCGCATGACGGATTAGGTTGGTTTCGGCCCTGCATGT